CAATTTGTAATAACTGCATTGAAGATGAGATCCATTTCCTTTTAGATTGTCAAAAATATGATCAGCAGAGATCTCAACTGTTACATAAAATTAAAGTCCCGGCTGACAATAACATTTCTTGTTTCACATATTTACTTTCACATCCAGATAAATTAGTTCAACAGGAGATATCAAACTTTATTTTAGCTGTGACCAAAATTAGAGATTAGATTTCTTAAATAATTTTTTTTTTTTTTTTTATACATATTTATTTATTTGTGAATTTTAAGTACATTCATTCAAGTTATTTTCAAAATATTGTCTTGTTAACAAAAATTCTTTATTGTTGCAAACACCCTATGTAACCTACTCTTTTACACAGGAACAATAAAGTTCATTCATATCTAACACTCAGACTAGTACATGTAATACAATTATTACAATTGTGTTGATACACCATGGAACATAAATGAGAATGTGGGAAATACCCCATCAGCTTTAATTAGGAAATATATACCATTTTTAGAAACAATCTTAAAAGAATTTACTATGAACAAATTTGGTTACCAACTCTATCCAAAACGGAAAATAAAACTATGTATTTACAAAAAATACAAATCAGATTATGAATTTGAACCATATCTGAATAAAATTAATAATTTAAATCAGAGTAAGTGTAACCAAATTTAGAATTTCAGCACATAAATTACCAAAAATTACCCTCAGAGCAAAGATTTTGCACACTGTGTTCTGATCAGTGTGTTGGTGATGAAATGCATGCTCTTTTTGACTGTAAACTGGATGAAATTGTAAAGGCACGTAGCTACTTTTGGAATACTCTATGAATGATAATATTTTAAAATTACCAAAAGAAGATATATTTGTGCATATTATGGGAACAAAAGACAGTTTCATTGCCAATAGTCTAGGAAAGTTTATCAACATAATTTTACAATGTAATACCTTATAGTTAGTGTTATCCGTTTTAACATTTTATTTTTTATATCTGTATTTCGTTTTATTATGTTTTTTGTGTATGATTATTGACCATGAATAATGTATTTCCAATTCATTAATTTGAGTCAAATAAAATATACTATACTATACTATGTAACTGATTTATGCTAATATAGAAAAGAAATGATGAATGTAATTTAAAGATATATATTACTGTTTTCATGCTAGCCAATAGGGATTTCAGGTGAAAATTAAATATGTACCCTCTACATACTATACTACTATATTTAGGTAGATCTCTGAGCAGTAAAAAGTACTTTACTTGATGTAAATCAGAGTTGGCGTTCCCAAGATACAGACTTTTGAAATCTTCAATCATGACCATTAAGACAACTACCGGTATTTCTATTCTTACCGGTATCTATTGATGAATAGGAGAGACAGTGGCACCAATTAGCACTAACTAGGTAACAAAAAATTGACAAAACCTTTTGTATCTCAGCCGATTTTAGACCAAATTTTCAGTGGTTACAGCCACAGTGAAGATGTTGACAAAATTATGTTTGGAGTAGATTAATATTTTGCCATGAAAATATATTTATATTAATAACAAATAAAATATTTATCAAGCTGAATGAACATTTTTTCATTTGCAAGAAACATTAACAATTATATATGATGGTATTTATATTATATTAATACCTAGTTACCACTTTGAATGTTAAAAGAAACTTTGCTGTTACCATGGCAAGTCAAAAATGCAATTTTCAATAAATTTATATATATGGACCCAGAATTTAGAATAAAGACATAGACAGAACTTTAAACAAGACTATAGTCATGTATGAATTTAGCGACCAATGATATTTTAGGGGCTAATTATCAGCTGTTGCCATGGAAACAACTCAAAATTTCATAAAATTTGCATATATTCCAATTCCCCCTAATATGGTTTTGTATTATTGGTATATAGTAATAAAGAATTTCAGAAAATATTAAAATTATGCATCACATTTTATTTACAAAAAGTACGTACCAGATAATCTGCATCTGGAACAACAGGACAACATCATTTTTTTATATGCATGAAAATAAACAAACTAAGTGTTATTAAATGTGTATTTATTTATTATCCATCTATTTATATACATGTATTCTCAGTTACAAGATCTCTTTTTTTTAAAGTCCAATAATAATGGAAATTAACAAGAAGTTTCATCGTCTTCCTCATATTTTATGGTGAATTCACTCCGATATTTTATACTGAGAAAATCTCTAAGTGAAAAAGAAAAAAAAAATATATAATATACAAAATCATTCACATTGAAATGTATAATTATTTGTTAAAAATGATAATATTGAAATAATGTAATTTGAACAGACATCACAATAATATCAACAAGTACTATTAAGCTGTAATAATAATGAATTACAATAAACTTTAAGGTTGAATAAACTCATACATCTGCAACGCGTGCCGTAATTTTGCGGTATTGTACTATGTTCATCATACCATATACCGATAAGGAAATGCAAATTCCAAATATGGAATGATTACGTGTGTAAGTGTCCTAATAATAAAAACAAACATGGCTGACATTGGAGTTTGACCGGACTCCACACAAAGAAGTTTGTTGATTCTGTTCTAAACTTTTTGGATTTTGGCATTCACACTGCATGATGTATTCTGGAAAAGATGTATAATAATAAGATTATTACGAGAATACCTCAAAGTATGCACTCTGACAGTACGCTGTGCATCGACCTCCGCTGTGCGTTGGTAACTACTACAGCTGTACTCTCTTCGTGCATACTTTGAGGTATTCTCATAATAATCTCATATTATTATTATGTAATTAGTCCCCGTTTAAACGAAGTCCGAAAATGTGGACTTATAATTCGATCCCCGTCCGTCCGGAGTCGTATCTCAGAATCCCTTGGACCGATTCTGTTCATACTTTGCATGTGTCTAGTACTTTATGTGGGACATATGCACATGCAGTGGTTTAGCAATTCGATCCAAAATGGCCGACTGGCAGCCATCTTGTTTTTTGAAAATGTTGTATTTTGAACATGCTTTATCAGTTGTCATTCAAACTTGGTATATAGATCATACATGTTAGGATACATGTCCATGACGATTTATTTTGCAATTGGATCAAAGATGGTCGACTGGCAGGCATTTTGTTTTTTTTATGCGGTATCTTGGACGTGCTTCATCAGTTTTCATTCAAATTTGGCACATACATGTACTTTATACATGTTAGGATGCATGTCCATGACAATTTGTTTCAAAATCTGGTCAAGGATGGCCGATTGACAACCATCTGACTTTTTGGCCTTACTACTATATTTCCACAATTTATGTACCATTTTCATTCGTATTTGGCACATACATCATACATAACAGTGTTTTTCATAATCAGATCAAAGATCTGTTTTCATTTTTGGCCATATTACTACTACACGGAACACGTTTTTTGATGTAAATAAACAATCTGTTGTATACGCCACTTGGAACTCAAGTTTCAAGGACAGGCTCACGACAACTCCTCCGCTTTAATATGACAAGCACAAAGAGAACTTAATTTAATGGGGACTGTGTAATTTTCAATGACTTGTTGTATATGCACATCCTAAGGACACCTATAGTTAAATGTATCTCACAGTTCCTTGTTAAGGGACTGTAGTTATCTAGAGGGGTGAATACAATTAAATTGGAGGG